ATTTCTTGTTGTTACTGCGTTTCAGTTGCTACTGGCGGCTGGTCTACTCTAGTTCGTTGGCAATCTTCTTTAACTTGTGCGCTCGTCAAAATAATGCCAGCCAATAAAAAAAAATGCTACCGTGGACGTAATAGAAAATCACTTTCTTTACNTATGGAGATATATTAAAAATTTTATATTCAATTTAATTTATTCACATCCAAAAAGTAGTTGATATGCTAGTATTTTGCAAGTAGTTTTAAAATCTTAAATCGAATTCTAGCATTTTGAAATTGAGAGAAATGACATATTCTGGTTCGTGTTAAGAAACGGTAGACAATATTTTTCTAATTTTTTTATTCTATTGTTTTAAATAAGACAATTAGACTGTGAGAAAGAAGTTTCAATTCGTATACAGCAACGCGACACATGAACGATCTGTCGAAGAAACATGCCTCCCGTAAGGACTTTTATGGGAAAATGACCACTACACTGTATTTAGGTGTTACTGGAAAGTGAATAAAAACCGGAAAACTTCCACGTGACTAACCCATTTTTAAACGGGGAAAAAAACAGTTAATTTGAAAAATTTTTACAAATAATGTACAAATAATGTTAACGATAAATGATGCTGAAATAAAAAAGTTCGTGTTTCTATTGTAAATTGTTTATCTGTTCGTTGAAGTTGTGAATTGTATCGAGCATTTTCATATTACATGGCGTTATTTTGAACGTATCCACCACGCAGAAAGAAAAATAGGTGTACAGTAATAGTTTTATTGTAATTACAATAAACCTTAGTTTTAATTGTATTTTCTAATTGTAGCTGTATTATGTGTTAAATAGGTAAATGTCTCTTCAATCCGAACAAATTTTCGGTAGACTTTCTCACAGCTCTACAGGTTATAAAACTCCTTTATTGTTTTTCTACAGATGCATTTCGGGCAAGTTTAATTTTCCAACCCCTCTTCAGTGCTACAAAACAAAATTCATATTGAATTGATACAAAACAACTCGAGTAGAAATGTAATTAGTAATGAAAGATATTGACAATAAAATCATGAACATTCCTGGGGTAAAAACTGTAATGAGATACGTGGATGATTACTTATTAATTTTTAATAATAAAATAACAAATGACAAAATAATTTTAAATACAATAAATAGCATAAACCAGGATATAAAATTTGACATAGAATTAGAAAAACACAATAAAATTCATTTTTTGGACATAACTATAACAAAAGAAAAAGAAAAATATTCATTTGAAACTTATAAAAAACCATCCAATGTAAACAAAACAATCAGTTACTATTCATATATCCCAGAAAGTATAAAAAAGAATACATATATAATGGAATTAAAAAAGATATATACTAGAACTACCAGTAAAAAGAAACGCAAAACTGAATTAAACGAATTAGATGATAAATTTATTCTTAATAGTTATCCAAAAATCCTTTTAAAAAACTGGCATACACAATACTACAATAATAGATTTATAACAAAAAATAAGAAAGATAAAAATTACAAACCCTTCCCTTACATAGCTGATATTTATAATAATAGCTCTAAATGCCTTAAAAAAGACAATATAATTTTGGCCCCATCTTTGACCAATAAAATTTCAAATAAAATCTCAAATAAATTAGGAAAATACAAAACCAATACTGATAAATTGAAAAAAACTGGAACTGTTTACAAAATTAATTGCAACTGTCAAAATCCTAAAGAATACATAGGTGAAACGGGTCGAACTTTGGAATTACGGATAAAAGAACATGAAGCTGCCATACGGTTAAAACATGATAATTCACCTTGGTATNGAGTCAAGGCATAGCAACCAAAACAAAACTAAAATTAAATGTGTGTGTCAGTGTCTGTATTCAGAAATTTCCTAGTTCATTATAATTACCTCTGTTATTAGATCCAATATATTCCGTATGCCCTCTAAATGCCAATTCTCGCTTCGATAAAAACGTATAACATCTATTTATTTAGATATAATATATTTATTAACCGTAACTATCTGGTTATAATTTTCGATATTTATTTTATATTATTTACTAATGTTAAATTCTATTCCGCTTCAAATACGAAAGAATGGACGATTTTTCGAGTCTTTTGCCAGCCAAATTGTCAAAGCCATTCTTATTCCACACACCGATTTCATTTGAAAATAGTAGGCGAGCCAAGAAAACAATTTATGCATTTTTATGCATTTACGGATTCATTTTATCGTGAAAATGTCCAACAAATTTTTTTATCGAAGCCTTTATATTTAACTTAGGCATTGGCCTTTCTCTTTTAACTGTGAATTTCTCGAACTGCTGTCGAATGTTTCGAAAGCAAATGTAAAGCATACATCGCATATCTATACAGTATTGTTAAAACAGAAGTCAATGTAATACTTTTTGTTAAGTTCCATCGAGTCGTGGTCGACTCCTGGTGACTTCATGGACAAGTCTTCTCCATCTTGATCTTTCCCTTGTTGTCTCTCGTAGCTAANAGTACTGTAATTTTATACATTTCTTGTGAAAGAAACATTTCTTATTCAACGGCAATAAAAATTATTTATATTAATGATGTCTCCAAAGTTCAGCGAAGTTTTCGCCAGAAAAATATGGTTTGGTGTGCTGCTTCGCGACGAAAACAAGCTTGAGCAACGGCGATGTCGAACGGTGCACACTCGGTAAGTAATCCTACATTTTTTTTGTTTATAGCGTAGTTTATACGGATTATTTCCAAAAAAAATATACGTATTTTGGAAATGTTGAGTCGGATTAGTGTAGAATCGATTAATTTTATGGAAGAAAACCTTTCAAACAGCCGTAGTCCGTAAACTTGACACGTGTCGGGCTGTGATTGGAAGGACTCGTAAGAAATCGGATTCCTAAAGAATGGAACGAATCTACTATCTTATAGGGGGATCGACTGTATTTCAAATGGCATGCAAATCGACCAGCAATGGTATAACATGATAGAGGGCGAAACAAGTCAATAGTTTATATTTCTAAGATTATACATTGTCTGTAAAAGAAAATTTTATTGTCTGTTGAACGTTTTTAAAGTTTATACAACATATACTACTGTGTTCTTGTTGTAACACTTTTAAGGAAAACCTGTATGTATTTTTGTAAATAACTTTTTTAAAAGGAAAACAATTTGTTATAAATAAGTGATTAAAATGCTACTTAGTTGATGTGCTAGTATTTTGCAAGTAGTTTTAAAATCTTAAATCGAATTCTAGCATTTTGAAATTGAGAGAAATGACATATTCTGGTTCGTGTTAAGAAACGNTAATAATTATAATTTGTAATTAGTTGTGTAGCATAATGATATAAATTTCGATGTAAAACGCCTTTAAGAGAAAAAATGGGAATTATAAATTTGAAAACATTGTAAATTATATAACATACTATAACAACACTTATTTATTTGTGCGCCAGTTTTTCTAAGTATATCATAATGGGCATTTATAATGATGATATACAATGGAATTTACAATATCAACTATAAATACAGAAATTAACAGATGTGGACTAACCATAAAGGCAATACAATCCAAAGCATTTTCAAAGAATTAAATAAGCTTGTGTTTAAACATTAACAACACAAATAGTTTTGATTATATTATTTTTAAACAATGTTAATCCAAAGATTTTTTTTAATAAATTAAGTGCTGTATGTAACCAGATGTACTGTAACACATTTGTGATCTCGGGTTGGCTTGTCTATTAGACTCGTCCTGTTTTAACAGTTATTACAACCATACCTTTATAATTTTCTGTTTCCAAACTTGTTATAACCAAAAAATCCATTATAACAGTAGCATAAAAAGAAAGATTTAGAACCAAGGTAAGATGTGCTAAATAGTTAAGATTAAATAGTACATTTTCTTGTAATACGATCCAAAAAATATAGACAAAAAGAATTAGGTTAAACAGCAAGTAATGTAGCAATAGAATGTTTACAAACACACAACTTTGAATCACGATTTTTTCACTGTACATCATAATTTAAGTGTGCCGCAGAAATTTAATTGTAGGTTCGAGTGTGCCACGAGATAATCTTGTATCTAAAACAGTGTTTCTCAACCTTTATGTTATAATTTCCTACTTGTAATTATGAAGATTTAGTAAGACTTTTTTGTAACAAAGTGTATTTCTGATTAAATTCAGGTAAGTATTCATTAGTATGTATGTATGTATGTATGTATGTATGTATGTATGTATGTATGTATACATAAAACATGTAAAAGTTGCTTCTCTACTTAAATGCATGGAAATAAGTTGCTAATTTACATCCTGAGCGTAAAGAAATCAAGTTCATCTTATTGTCATTTACACGTTCATATTAACTTGACAAAGTTTCACTTTTTGTACTATTTTTGGGCTTTAAAAACATTTTAAGTCGTGAAAAAATGAAAGAAAATCACTAGTTTTGTTCCCTATCACGATGTTCATGAAAAATAATTTGCCAAATAGGTGCATTATCTGGCAAAGTGGTTTTGATATGGCAAGATAAGCAAACTAATGACAGTCCATTTCTGATATACAGGCTATGTCATTGGAATGCTTATCCCACCATTAATATATTACGGTGTCTGATTATCTGCTTATTGTGTATTGTTAGACCTGTGAAAAATTCTTGGGAAATAGATTGGGTTGTGGTCCTGGATCGCCAGTGGCAAGCTGACACCTTGACCACTCGGCCATAGATTCATATCCTTCGGAGTGATGCGAGACCAATTAGTGAAGGCAGCAGCCTACTGGGATAGAATCTGGATGGTCAAAAAACCTTTGGAATCTTTTAGGGTGGTCCTTCCGAATGTGTTTGGCCTGGCCAAACCTGTAACAGGCTTGCTAAATAAAGAGGCCCTCTTAGTGCCCACAGGACCGAGTTAAAAAATAAGTAAACCCTCGGATAAATACACACTGTCCTGCCATTTTTTCTCTAAAATTATCCTTTCTTAAAAGGAATGTGAGATTTTCATCTGCTTACAAAAGAACAGAAAAAGATTAATCTGCAGAAACTTTTATTTTTGCAAACATTATGTTCTTACAAATTACATAAGTTTCATTCTTTATTGAGGGATTTTTAAACAGATTTTTCAATAACATTTATATAGATCTTCAACAGATATTTTAATGTGTGCGGGACCTACCGTTCGAGGCTCTCGACTATCGCTTGAATGCATTAATTTCTGCAAAGATTTCGGAAATAGGCAGGCCGTAACAATTAGTACCAATGTTTTACAAATATAAATATACAACAATTTATAATTGAGATTAAAATTATTAATTAATATATACTGTATATATGAACATTAATAATCAATTAATTTATCAAATATTTTATGTATAAAAAATTTGTTTTGCCATTAATCCTTTTTACTAGTGTCTGAATCACAAATATCAATTTGTTGGGCGTGTCATTCCAATAGCAAATTAAAATGCTCTAGGGTCAAATTCTTGCCGGGAGATTAAGAAAGATGCAATTTCGGAACCGGTGTCTGGAATGTTGACGCAACGAGCAGGATTAAAAGTTGCCAGGGTGAATTATTTACACAATTTTATTTATCACAGATTATGTGCAAAATTGATGCATAACAGTATTAATAAATAATGATTAATTTAATGGGTGAATATTTATATATATTTTTTTGATTTTGTGCATTCTTCTTTATGTTTGTTGTGTATAATGTACTGTACATACATAATTCTCAATAGACTACATGCAATATTTGTTTTAAGTATTCCATGTTGGCTTTGCTGAACTCAAATTAATTTATAATTCTTCGCATTACCAAATTATCTTCTGAGGTCTTTTGTAACGTAAACTTCCTGAAGGTTCTGGCTCACGCTCTTTTTCAATTCTAATTTGGCTTGTCTGATTAGACAACTTATCAGCAGAATACTTAAAAACACCTACAAGACAAAAACATGAAAATAGTCAGGAGAAACTGCACATATATGGATGGTTTATCCTATAATTATATATTTTAAACTAATTCATTTTGCAACACTGCAGGCTGCATAGTAAAGTCCTTAAATACTCATAACTGAAGAACATACATAGTTACACTTACAAATGTGATGTATAGTTATAGTAAAATGTCTAGGCACCACGAAACAAGACTGCTTGCATCACCCCTAGTGGTAAAATTCAGTAGTTGGCACTCCTGTCTCAAAAATGATGTACTGGTACGATACGGAAAAAAGTCAATTACAAAGCTGTAGAGCACAACTGATTTGGTATGAAAGGGATACCCATGTATGTCAATAGTGTGAATAGAAAGTATGATGTTACAGTGGACATTGAGCACAGATGGCAAAATATATATAATATGTGTTCATTTGCATGTTCTCATTCATTTATTGTGTGTTTATTTATAATGTGTATTTTTTCATTTTCTAAGTCTTCGTGCTGCATTCGTTACTGCAAGTCATATGTTATGCATCGCCCAGACATCAGCGTATAAGGACTTTACTATGCACGCTGTATACAAATAATAATGAGATGTGATGGTATTTGTTACAATAAAATTAAGCAAATTAATAATAAAAAGTAAACATGCAAGCTAAGATATATAAAATTTAAAATTAAAACACGATCTCGTGTTAAATATACATATCGATACATTATCAAATCATTAAATAAAGATAAAAATAATATATATTGTACTGACCTGTACAAACATAACTAAATATCCAGTAGTTGCAGTATTATCATCTGTCAACACATCTTCAATAGATCTCAATGTCGTTCCCAGGTATACGCTAATAAACTGAGTCGGAAATAATCCCAAAGTAGATGCCACTAAGTATGTATTTAAATGTATCCGACTTACCTGAAAAAATAAATTTTAAAACTATAATTACAGCCTGTGGGAAATTAACTTTTCTTCTTTGGATTGAATGATAGGAATTAAAACACTCTGCTATTAATCAAATTTATCTCAATGTTTAAGTAACACTTAAGACAAAAATATTTAACTCTCTTCCTTTCAAATATGGGTGGAAAGATACTGGCTATGATTATTTTTCAACATGCAGAAGATAACCAGGATTTGATGATGCAAGAATTGAATGACAATGATAGAATGAAATTAAGTGCTTGAAGATTTTCTGACAGGAAGATAAATCGCCCGACATCATACTGTTTCAACTTTATGCAAATGAAAGTTTAAATGTCACCCAGATTCACCATTTTGGAGTCAGAAGTACCGGTACCCCTCTCTCCTGCTTGACCTTTCTCATCTCTTCTCCCTCCCTTGTACTTCCATTAGTTCTAGTTTTAGGTTAGTTTAAGACATCAAGAATGAGCAATCACTAAACATTCGCCCCAAGCTTATAACAGGATTACAAAATAAACCTTTGTTCAGTTCTTTTGCTAGCTAGAAACATATAAATTCTCACAATGTAAAGGGCCATTTTCCAAGTCTATCGTGAATTCAGCCAGGCTTGCAAGAGGTGTGGCCTGATACATCCTCATTAACTCGCCCACAAAAATTCCTAAGCCTACCCAAACTCACATTCCCAGAGTGGATGGCAATTTCTTTACCACTTTGGCCATCTGGGTATCTGCTCTTAGATTAAATTCAAGTTAAAATTTCTTTAACAGTTACATTTAATCCTTATTTTAATAAAGTATTATATATACTATATTTATATATATTTGCTTAATTATTTATTCCCAACCTGCTCCATAGATATTTTGCATACTGCACCTAAAAATTGATTGGGTCTATATATGTCTGCTGTTCCAAAGCAGTCTTGCAGCACATGAAAAGCAGACATTTTATTCCTGATAATTATTTACAATTTAATTAAGAGCATAAATTTATCTCTATTCAAATATTTTACAATTAAAAAGTGTCAATCTGCACGTATTTAAATGAAAATTATTCATTAAAACTGAATTATAAGTCAGTTTAAAAGAGAGATGAATAAACAAATATAGATAAATACACACTTTTAGTATTACATTAACACTATTTGCTAAGGTTTAGTCTCTGTATGACTGCTCCTCTGAGAAACAGAAGCAGTCGTACAGAGACTAAATCTCAAAGACAATCTCAGTTTGAGCTTTCATTTAGATCTTGACTACTGAAGCTTCATGCTCTCTTTTGATCTCCACTTCTCAACAAGAATAGATGGAGAGATCAGACATCGAGCCACTCGCATCCAGATCCAAACCATCTACAACTGACCATAATTATCGCCTTCTGAGCAGACTACTAAGTCACTGCTGTCCTACATTTGGTGACATTCCAACCAATATGTTTATTCCTTCACAACAATGATGTGGAATATTTAAACATGTACCAATACATGAAAAAGAAGAGACAATATCAAAAATCATCATTTTAATAAACTTACATTGTAAGCAGTGACAAACTAACTTATTAAAACAACACATAAAATCTGAATTACAGCAGTGTCACAGATGTTAACAATATACATAGGAGTTGTATAAAAGAATATGTTTATTCAGATTTCATATTAAAATGCATAGGCTATATTAAATTTCCGATTCAGAAATTGAATAATAAAGTCAAGTAAAGTCACTACTTTGCACCATTGAAAAATTTTTATCAGAAAAACTAATATTTTCAACTAATTACACGACTATCCTCAGGCAATGAATCTGCACGATAAGCAGAACTTGCGAATTCAAGTCCCACTCTGGGCTAATCTATTCATCCAAGGTTATTCTAAAATTTAAATTAATTTACTATTATATTTATGGCCTACCTCTTGTCAAATTGCTTAGTAATTATTTAGCCTTGTAACCCAATAGAGAATCTGGCCGTTCATTTGGTATTCTCAGATTCTAAACTAAGAGTCTAAACAATTTTAAAACACATTCCTCTTCAAATCCAAACATAAAAATTAAATTAAATTTATATTTACTCTATCACATCNGAAATTAATATGAAGTAACAATGAATCTCCTTTGTTAGAATTTTTTTATTGTGAAAAATCCATCTTCAGTTTTCATATCTACGGGCACAAATTGTCATTACGTGTGTCTTGCTTTAATTATTTAAAGTTTAAGATACACGATGCCTTCATAATTGAAAGATAAGTATAAATCCAATTTTTGATAGTTGCAAGAGTTATTATTAATGTGAAATCTTTTCGTTTTCAGGTTTCAAGTAGTTCAGAAGAAAAGTATGTGTCCAAATTTGCATATTGCTGATTGATGGCTACAAAGAAAACTTATTGAATTCAAAATGTGCAGGATTATCAGCTTGTTTCTTCTTGGTTTGGAGCGTTGAATGAATTCATATTTTACAGTTTCATCGTTAACACATTTTAACTCCATCAAAGTGTGTTTTATACGTGATATAATGTGTACTGTACTGCAAATATAACACATATTATGTACATTAATTTTCAAAAGAAATTCGCCAACTGAGATTGTGTGAAGAGCAAACCAGCTGAAGCAAGTAACTTTGGAATATATTATAAACATTTTTGTTGTGGAAATGGAGCGAATCCAGTTTTTCCCGTAATGGCGATGCTGCCTAGTCATTACGGGGTTTCTGGACAAACAAAAAACCCACGGAGGAGGGTGAGACCTTGACGTTGGTTCCGTGGCTTCAAATAGAATTACTTTTCTGTCACTAACTTCACCCGGCAGCACAAATCAGAAATATTTCTAAAATACATATTCCTTTTTCACATTTATTTTGAGTGCCCACCAATGGCCGAGTAGATAAAACCACCGAACAGTGAGTAGTAGTATGTGCTAATGGGATCGCAATATGGGGTTTCTCGGGTTTTCTTCGCGTTAGTCACATCTAAATATGGGCCAGTTTACCATAAAATCTCTCTGAAAAGGCATTTTCCCTTCTGCATTAATTCATTATGCTTTTCCCAATTATATTGTCATAGATATACAATGAAAAATACAATATAGAAAAATGGAAATGCATGATTTATTAAACAGATACATTGTACAAATAGAAATTATACAGAAAACTTGAATACATACGAATACATAATTCTAAACTGAGATATTTAAAAATTTCATGAAAATTAATTTTAAAATATTAACAAAAGTATGGAGATATATTAAAAATTTTATATTCAATTNACGTAAAAATTCTCTAATTAGTCTGGAAACGGGGGACCTAATTCTTGCATTCTGTGAAAACGGGTAAGATTGGCTCTAATGTAATTATCTTAATCTTCACTATCTTTACTTTTTGCCCAGCGAAGCGGGTCCTTGCAGCTAGATTCTAGATTACTTAGAAAAACAGTCTTTTATATATATATAAAAAACTATATTACATACAAATAAAAACCCAGCGAAGCGGGTCCTTGCAGCTAGTTTCAAAATAATAATCAAATTTACTATGCTAATACCATTAAACAAATAAGTCTCTGCTGCTGTTGAAGAGAAAAATGAAAAAAATTCCTGAAGGCGGACCAGAAAGCCCAAAAGTACCAAGCAGATGGACAGATAGGCATTCTATTTTATGTATATAGGTTTGTAATTATATTAATTAATTTTTTTTATATAATATCTTCAAGAGCAGTCCTTGATGGTTAGCCACTGGTCATACATCCCTGATCAATAGCAATTTTTTTTTCCTTCAAGAAAATAGTCAGTTTGAGACACTGCCTCAAACCTTGACTGTGGAATACTTTGTCTCTTTGTATCAATGCAATACTTTATTCTGTAATATGCTTATGGAGAAAAAACCCGAAAAATTAATTAATTACATAAACATTTATTGATGTAATTATTTATCATTAACCTTTGCACCCCAGAAAATTTTATGTGGATGACCACACACCATCTTGCCAAATTGCTTAGTAATTATTTAGCCTTGTAACCCAATAGAGAATCTGGCCGTTCATTTGGTATTCTCGGATTCTAAACTAAGAGTCTAAACAATTTTAAAACACATTCCTCTTCAAATCCAAACATAAAAATTAAATAAAATTTATATTTACTCTATCACATCTAATTAATTAATAAAATCAAAGTAGCTTGATACTAGGAGTCATTGCTCTTTCATTACTGACTAAGATCTTTCGAATGATTTACTGTCCATTGTCAGAATCGACTAAAAAAAATGAGGTTAAACTGACTGCTATAGTCAATCTAATGAAGCAAGCAATACAACTTTAACAGTGGGTAAGATTAAAGAAACATTAACACTTGCATCTTCAGGCAAGGACAGACTTAAGAGAAATAATATCTGGTTATACTTTAACAAAATCCATTCAATTACAGTAGAAAACATTTGCTTTAAGTAAAAGTTAAATTGCCAGAGCTAAGATTTTTCAAGACTTTCTATTAAAAGAAATGTTAGTGATGGATCGGAAATAAGTCACCATTAAATGCATATTGCTTTACTTCATGAAATTAACTACAGTAGTTCAACCTTATGACCCTTAATCGTTAAAATTTTTTATAATAAAATCAAAAAGTTTGATTCTAGATAGACTCCTAGAAACAAGCCGGTCTGATTTTATTATTTAGGATATTAAGCATAAAAACCTGGATATCCTCAAGCTATGGATGTTTGTTTATGGCTTCCTGGAGTGCCAGTAATGCAACTGGATAACTCATTAGGAAGAGAAGCTAACAGGTTATAAATCTCCAAAGAGATAAGATCAAAAACAAAATAGGTACCACACATGATATTTTTTTTTGTGTCTATTCATTTTAATGTTTCATCATGTACATTCTATTGATTCTGTAGCATTTTAATCTTCAGAAGTAACTTTTTAATAAAGAAACTTTGATCAAAATAAATATTCAAATAACAATAATTTGGATAAAAAGAATTCCATTTCTGTAGAATCATTATAAAATACTTATACACAA